CAGGGAACCGACAGGCCCCAGTCTGGAGAATGTGCCGCGGGGCTCCGCCCACTGCACCTACTGTAGGGGACTGGTGGTGGCCACCCTCCCTTCAGTCCTCGCCCTCAGGACCCTGGCACAGCGAGGTCTGTGCCTTTCCAGTGACCAGTGGTCACCAGGGTCAGGGGACCCAGCTGCTGCAAGTGACACCATCCCCTCCATCTGGACTGGTAATCCTAATTCACAGCCAAGAAGCTCACCCCAGGTCACACCTCTGGGGTGAACCCTCCACCGGCTACACTGCTCCAGGCAGGAGGGTCACCTGCCTTGGGAGGACGTGGGCCCACCCACAGCCCCAGTGGACAGGGCGCCAGGCACCAGCCACTGCGCATCCCCAGGGTTGACTGAGCACCCATGACAGGCAGCGCCCTGTGCAGTTGCTGCTCATCCCCACCTTCCTGGGGCTCAGTCTGTGCTTGGAACTTGGGTAAAACGCCTGCCTGGCCCCAGGACCTCACACTTTGGTGCAGCTAAAAGAAAAAATAAGATGCAGTATCTTGGGCACCTAGAAAGCACTCATCAAAGATTACATGAGTGAGGCCGGGCACCATGGCTCACGCCTGTAATCCTAGCACTCTGGGAGGTAGAGTCGGGAGGATTGCTCGAGGTCAGGAGTTCAAAACCAGCCTGAGCCAGAGCAAGACCCCGTCTCTACTGTAAATAGAAATTAATTGGCCAGCTAATATATATAGAAAAAATTAGCCGGGCATGGTGGCGCATGCCTGTATTCCCAGCTACTCGGGAGGCTGAGGCAGCAGGATCGCTTGTGCCCAGGAGTTTGAGGTTGCTGTGAGCTAGGCTGACGCCACGGCACTCACTCTAGCCTGGGCAACAAAGCAAGACTCTGTCTCAAAAAAAAAAAAAAAAAAAGATTACATGAGTGGATTACAGATGATAGTCACCATGGTCCTGCTTGCTGGACAGTCCCAGTTTATGATGGGCTCTGGCTTCAAGCTTAGTAGCATGCCCTTTTGAGCTCCAAAGTGTTCCATTTGGACCTTGTTATAAGGCCACGCCTACATACAAAACAAGATCCCTCCTGTGAGGGATCAGAGAACAGGCCACACCTGGCTGGCCTTGCGCAGTTTGGAAGGCACAGGAGGGACCTGTCAACCTGCACTCTCCGGGTAGCACTCACTGGTGAGGCCCTCTGGGAAGAGCTGTTGCTCTAGGAATCTTCCATTTCTGCACCTAGCTCAGTGCCAAGGCAACTGTGGGGGCTCGGTTAACCTTTTCCATAAGGCTTCAGGAGGCCTTGCTCTTCTTGGCACTGGGCATGACCCCTAGACGCACACAACCAAGAAGTCCCCGCACTCCTGCAGTGACAACGCTAGTGGGAGTGGCCGAGCACAAGCAAAACACGTGTACAGTGTGTCAGAGAGAAACGGAGAGCAGAGAGGGGATGAGGAAAGTGTAGTGCTACGGGTGGAGAATGCTCAGGGACAGCTTCCCCCAATACGGTGACATTTGGGCAAAGGTCCGGAGAAGTGACAGCATGAGACTGGCACATATTTGGGGTACAGCATGCCAGGCAGAGGAAGTAGCCGTGCAAAGGCCCTGAGGTCGAGCAAAGGACAGGGTGGCTGCAGAACTGAGAGCAGGGGAGAGCAGGAGCCGTCGGACACTGCAGGCCTGGCCGCCCTCCTAAGAACGCAGGCTTCAGCTCTGAACGAAAAGCGGCGCCCTTTGGGGCGTCAGGACTCGGTTCCCGTGCGGCCCGTGGAAGGTAAGAACAGCTGCCGACGCAAGGCTCCACGCCGCCGTCACGTCACGACTTACAAAGTCAACGCACGCGTCTCGCCTTGGCGCGTAAGGGGCTGTGCGCAGAAAGCCTCGCGCCCGGGGGCGTCGGCACGGGCGGCCGGCGGGCGTCTCGGCCCGCAGGGCACCGGCGTCCCAGCGTCGGGAGGCTCCGCGCGAGCCGCCTCATTTCCTCCGGGCACGGAGGCCGCACCGCGTGGCCGCTTCCAGCGCCTCGTGGCCGGCGGCCGCCCGCGCCAGGAAGCCCGATCGCCTCAGCCTCAAGGGCTCAGTGCCCGGCACGCGGCGGGCGGGCCGGGGTCCCCGCCACGGGGCGAGGCGCTCCGCGGCCGGGCAGCCGCCGACGCCGGAGCTACAGGAAGACGCCGCGTGGACCCCGCCAGCCCTCCGGCGCGCTGCGCCTGCGTGGTTTGCCAACCGGACCAGGGGCGGGGCCGGCGCGCGGATGGCGCCTGCGCGGGCCCGCCCGGCCCCGCCCCCTAGCGTCAGCGCGCCTCCCGGCTCAGGAGCCTCGCGCCGGCCCCGTGACTAGGCGCGCGCCGGCGCGACGCGCCGCGCGCGCCGGCCCCGCCTCGCGCCGGCCCGCCCGCGCCGCCGCGGCGCGTGGAGGGGCAGGTCGCGCGCGTCGCGGCGGTGCTGGCGGGCCGGGAGGTGGCCTGGGCGGAAAAGCCGCGGCTAATGAGATGGGCGTCCCCCGCGCCGTCCGTCGTGCGCAGCGCCCGGCGGAGCCGCGCCCCCGGCCGCCGGAGGTGATGCGCGGCGGGCCGCCGCGCCCGCCGCCCCCAGCCGCCGCGTCCTCCCTGTCCCGCGTCCCGCCGGCGACCGCGCCCGGCCGGGATCGCATTTCTGCGGCCGGGCCCGGGCGGGTCCGCTGACAGGACGCCCGAGTGGCCCCAAGTCGGCGCGGCCCGCGGCGGCCCCACGTGCCGGGCGGCTCCGGGCGGGCCGGGTCGGGGCCGTCCCCCTCGCGTCAGCGCCGGCCGAGCCCCCGGGTCCGCGCGCCCTGTCAGTCGCGGTCCGTCCCGGGAAGAGGCCGGCCGGGACCGCGGCGCCGGGGACGCGAGTTCGGCGCCGCGCGCGTGGAGCTTGGGGCGGCCGCGCGTGTGTCCCGGCGGGACCGTCCGATCGCGTGAAGAAGGAAGAGACGCACGTTGCCAGTCACAGTTCCCGGGGTGTTTCCCCACCCGGGTGAGCCTGCCCCGCTTGCGTCTCCCCCTTTGTCCTTCCCGCGCGACCCGCACCGCCTCAGTCCCCTCAGAGTCGCCCACGCCCCGGGCTCCGGGAGGTTCTCGCAGGACCCGTGCGCCCCTCGGGGAAGCGCGTCCCCGCCACCCCGGGCCGCCGCGAGAAGCTGCTGTGGGTGTCCTGGTGTTTGTAAAAAGGGAAGTTATTTGTTTTGAAGTTAACTCTGATCGGATTAAGTGCATAGTTTTAGAAAATCCACTTTAGACCTTAACGGTGAGTCCAGTCTGCCAAAGCTAAGGGCATCCTCGTGACTTCTTGCATGGAAATATTAACTTCTGATGTTTTCTCTGCGTGCGGTTGGTTGATGGTAAGATGAAGAGACTAGGAAGGATTTAGTTGGAGTTTTTGGGTTTTTTTTTAAAAAAAAAAGCGCTACGAAATTAAGCCAGGTTTCGATCATACATGAATTTCAGTTGCTAAACGGAGTTATCTTGCGAGAGCAAAGTTTACAGGACTCGCCAGTCTGAGGGTTGCCAGTAGGATGTTCATACGACGATGCACACTTCTGCAGTCCTTAAACAGGTTGTATCTGCTTACCATAATTTGCTTTTTCTCAGGAAAAGATCTAGCACAAGTTAAGAGACGTTCTGTGAATATTCAAAAAGTTTCAAAGGCTCAATCTTTTGGGCAGAGGACACCATTAATCTCCTATATTGAAAGAAAGCTAGTCCTCTTAATAGGGGGTAACAGTCCTCCTGCCCTCTGTTCTGGTTAATTCCTGAATAAGGTGGTTGATGTTTTTGGATGTGAAAACTATGTTCTTTAATGTCAGCCACATCCCCTGCTCCCATACGCAGTGAGCAACTCAAGCTGTTGTGAAGAATGCCCCCACACCTTGGGGAATGGTGGTGTTGTTTTGTTTTGTTTTGTTTTGTATTTTAAGTATACAGTAGGAACATTTAACACTTCTAAAAGGTATTTCTCCATGCCTAATGATTTGATATAAAAATCAAACCCATCATACATTCCCCTGGAGAATGGTTTTGAGTAAATTATTAGGGGAGTTGATTGACTTCTGTGTATGGAGCTGATATGCAATATTTATGTAGTGAAAGAAACGTGTGGGTTTCAGATCCCGGGTGGGCATAGACTTTGGAGTGAGGAACGCTGGGAAGTGCAGCCCTGGGCGCGTGAGGGGCAGTAAGTGACTGTGGTCCGGGCTGTCCTTCTCTTCACTTTGTGCACTTTTTTCTTTGCTTGGCTTCAGCTACTTCAGTTTCTATTTCTAGTCCGATTCCCTTCTCCTTTGCTGTGATGCTGGTTTTGCAAGGAGGGAGCAGGCGAAGCTGCTGGGCCAGGCCCCGGAGTAGAGGCCAGGCTAGCTCTTCCTTGGCCAGCATTCTGTTTCCTTCTGTGTGTTTCTGCACATAGCCGTTCAGAGAGTTAGTGACTGTCATTACTTTTGATTTTCAAGTCATTTGAAATCTGAAGACCTGAGGATGCAGCTGTAGGAATCTGTAGTCTTGCTTACATCCACTGCAGAGGCGGTCAGGGCGCCTTCAGCCCGTAGCATCCTTCAGCATCCTGGTTCTGGCCTTCTGCTTTAGTGTCTGCGTCATAGCACCTTGCTCTTGTCACCGTCCCTCCGTGGCCTGGCTTTCTACATCCCAGTCTTCCGTACCCTTCTCCTGTACCCCACCTTTCAGTGTCTTGTTTGTTCTTCATTCTGGAATACCTCAGATCGCTTTTTTTTTTTTTTGGAGACAGTCTCCCTTTGTTGTCCAGGGTAGAGTGAGTGCCGTGGCGTCAGCCTAGCTCACAGCAACCTCAAACTCCTGGGCTTAAGCGATCCTCCTGCCTCAGCCTCCCAAATAGCTGGGACCACAGGCATGCGCCACCATGCCTGGCTAATTTTTTCTCTCTATATATTAGTTGGCCAATTAATTTCCTTCTATTTATAGTAGAGATGGGGTCTCGCTCTTGCTCAGGCTGGTTTCGAACTCCTAACCTTGAGCAATCCCCCCCCTCGGCCTCCCAGAGTGCTAGGATTACAGGCGTGAGCCAATTTGCCTGGCCTCAGATTGCTTCTTTGCTAATTATTTGATGTGTGCTTTTGGTAATTCAAATTCTGGAAGGCATTGCTAGGAATAAAACAAAATCTTTCTTATTTCTGAGGCAGGGGAGTGGAAGGGATAGAGGTGGTGAACTCTGCATGGAGCGTTCTTGTAGTTTCTGCTCGCTGGGGCAATGATGGTTGTTTTAAAAGGCCCTGGCCTTGGAGAACATAGTAGTTGCGGTGACGGTCGATGTAAACCAGAGAAAGAGGCCCAGTACATGCTCTGAGGAAAACTACTGGCAGATGAGGGCAGAGGTGATGCTCAGTAGTTTGAGAAATGTACTGGGGAAAACCTCGGAGGGAGGGCATGTTTGGGTCCCGGGGCAGCGGGGCGAAGGCCCCTGGGGGAGGCATCCTTGTGGTGCAGAGGCTGCCTTGCCAGGCGGCACAGCCTCCTGCCGCACTGCTGCACACTTGTGGGTAAAGCCTCCTCCCCAGCTCCTCAGGGATTGCTGTGGGGATTTGGTGGACATACAGCTTAAATGACATGCACTGAAGATGCTAGCCCCCGCACCTGACAAGGTGCACTCTCTGCTTCTGATCTCTCCTTCTAGGTGAAGGACTTTCAGCAGCTGTGGTGTGTGTCTTTCCCAGTGAAGGCTGCATAGAATAAAAACAGCTGATACTGGCTTGAGACTGCAGGTGGGGCTGGGCCCCTCCCTGCTGGCCCTCCAGGGTGCTCTCTGTGTGAGCTGCAGCCGCCCATCATTAGTCTGGATGGGAAGACCTGACGCCTTGGCCCTGTGGACCAGCGGGCCCTGCACTCGCTCTGCCCTCCTGCCTCAGGACCTCCATGGATGGAAACCCTGAGGGGCTGGCTTCTCCCCCAAAGCTCACTTTGGGATCTCTGCTCCACCTGCTTGCGACAGAGAGAGCAGGGTCTGGAGCTGCGTGCTGTGCCGGAGAGCTCCGGTTACTATCACAGAAGCCGTGTTCCTCATCCTGTAAGTGAAAGACTCTTCCCAGCAGCTTTCAGCCACAGCTTCGATTTCAGGCCTGTCACTAGGGGGACTGCCTGTACCCCGAAGGAAAGGGTAGGTGTCGAGGGTGCTGGTGTTCAGTACAGGGGACCCACAAAAAGAGTGATCGGAACAACCCAAGCAGCCCTGGTATGTGACCCAGAACAATTCAGGGACAGAACAGGGACCAACTGACCTTAATGTGGTCTGTTTACTTGCTTTGGAATGTGCTTTGTTTCCAAGGTAGCCTTATCAGGGTTTCTAACCACATCTCATGGAAATAGCTCCGGTTCTAGGTTTCTAAAGTTTAACCCTTTGCACCTGTCTTTGGTTTTTGGCTTTGTGTTCCCTGTCTGTTTAGCCAAGTCCTGGATGATGGCTTTTCTTCAATGGTACAGTGGCTCTTCTTGGAATTGCTGGCTGTGAGGCAGTTGATGCTATTGCAACCCCTAGGATGTTAGCTTGGCTCTGTACTCTCAGAATGTGTTATTGAAGTTACTCTCAGGTGTAGACCAGATCTTAATTTATATCTTCAGTGGGGAACCCTGCCACCTCCCCGTTTGAACCAGGCTAGGCACCTGATTTAAGCTCTTTGTGTGTTTTTTTTTTTGTTTTTTTTTGAGACAGAGTCTCGCTTTGTTGTCCAGGCTAGAATGAGTGCCGTGGCGTTAGCCTGGCTCACAGCAACCTCAATCTCCTGGGCTCAAACCATCCTTCTGCCTCAGCCTCCCGAGTAGCTGGGACTACAGGCATGCACCACCATGCCCGGCTAATTTTTTATATATATATCAGTTGGTCAATTGATTTCTTTCTATTTATAGTAGAGACGGGGTCTCGCTCTTGCTCAGGCTGGTTTTGAACTCCTGACCTTGAGCAATCCGCCCGCCTCGGCCTCCCAGAGAGCTAGGATTACAGGCGTGAGCCACCACGCTGATTTAAGCTCTTTGATTCCCTGGGTGGACTTGACAGGTCGCTGAGAGCACGTGTGCTCCAAGTTAAACACAAATATGCTTCAGTTCTTTCAAGGCTACATTATGAGCTTTCTAACTTACAGAGTGTTGGCACTCTTCTGTGCCCTGCCCCCAGATGGATGGAGCCACCGTGACTGCCACCTGTCCGGTGCTTGCCAGACTCTTTTTGACAGAAATTGCAGATATTGAGACACTTTACCTCGGAGCATCCTTTTCTCCTAGGAAAACGGAGAAGGACATTCTTCCCAATAATCACAATCGCATCATCAGTGACATCTAAGAAATGTCAGCAACCCCTCGGTGTCATCCAGAGCCACTCAGTCCACAGTCAGATCCCTGGCTGTCCCCAAAACATCTTGGGTGGCTGTTTTTTCCGAGCCAGAATCTAGTCCAGGGCCACGGATCGCAGTCGTCGTGGTGTCTCTCTGTTCCTCTGCCCCTGTGTGCGCCCTGTGATCTGGCAGCCGGAGGCTGGATTGGGTCCAGGTGGCACGTTTGGGGCACGTTTGTGTGGGTGTTGCAGTGTGCGTCGTGTTGTGCTGTTTTTGCAGCCTGTCCCTCGGGGACTGGGGTGACAGGGCACTGGCCCTTTAAACGTACTCCTGTCCCGCAGTTAGCAGGTCATCGAGGGGGGACATCGTGGGGGCAAGTGAACACCTGCTCCTGTAGCATTCCTCGTGGTGTGTGGTGTTGGTACTTCACAGAACCACGAGGCAGCAGCATACTGACTTTCCAATGCTGCTGTTTCTTCTTTTTCTGTTTCCCTCATTCATTACCTCTTTTGTTTTTTTTTGTTTTTTTTTTTGAGACAGAGTCTCAATCTGTTGCCCAGGCTAGGGTGCCGTGGCGTCAGCCTAGTTTACAAACTCCTGGGCCCAAGCAATCCTCCTGCCTCAGCGTCCCGAGTAGCTGGGACTACAGGCATCCGCCACCATGCCTGACTAATTTTTTCTATGTATTTTTAGTTGGCCAATTAATTTCTTTCTATTTTTAGTAGAGACGGGGGTCTCTCAGTCGGGCTGGTTTTGAGCTCCTGACCTTGAGCGATCCTCCCGCCTCGACCTCCCAGAGTGCTAGGATTACAGATGTGAGCCACCATGCCCGGCCCTCATTACCTCTTGAAAAGACAGGACAGCCTGGCATGGTGGTGCCTGCAGTTCCCACTACTTCTTGGGAGGCTGAGGCAGGAGGATCGCTTGAGCCCAGGAGTTGGAGGCTGTGGTGAGCTGAGATCGTGCCACTGCACTCCATCCTGGCCAACAGAGTGAGACCTGATCTCTCTTTCTTTCTTTTTTTTTTATTGTAAAAAAAGGACAAATGCTTGATTTTTATTACTAATTTTCAGGGTAAGACAGTATGGTAGTCACTGCATCACGGCAAATGTTTTTATTTTTCTTCTTTCTTTGAATATCAAAGTGAGCTAATGGGTTTTTATTTATTCAGTATATCATAGTCTGCTCACGTCTTTTGCTCTTGTTCTGTGGTGGTCAAATGTGACCACCTGGAGCCCTTCCACGCTGGCTCCTCTGTCCCCTTCACCCCCTGCATGGCTTCCGGTGCACGTGGCCTCTGCCCAGCCTCCCGGCCTCACCTTTCCAGAAGAGAGGTGCCGTCCGCCATTTCTCCAGAGTGCTCTGGTTACTTCAGGTGCTGAAAGGCATCTCAAAACTGAGATCTAGGCATCAGATGTGTTCATTGCATTTGTCAAGTGTTGCTTATATCCTTTTGGTGGACAGAGCTAGGAAATACACTTTTTTTTTTTTTTTTTTTTGAGACAGAGTCTCACTTTGTTGCCCAGGCTAGAGTGAGTGCCGTGGTGTCAGCCTAGCTCACAGCAACCTCCAACTCCTGGACTCAAGCGATCCTCCTGCCTCAGCCTCCCGAGTAGCTGGGACTACAGGCATGCACCACCATGCCTGGCTAATTTTTGTATATATTTTTAGTTGGCCAATTAATTTCTTTCCATTTATAGTAGAGACGGGCTCCCGCTCTTGCTCAGGCTGGTTTCGAACTCCTGACCTGGAGCAATCCACCCGCCTCCCAGAGTGCTAGGATTATAGGCGTGAGCCACCGCGCCCAGCCTAGGAAATACACTTTTAAAACATTGTGAGTTCATACTGGCATAATCGGTACAAATTAAAAATTATATAGTTTTTTTAGTTCTTTGATTTTTAAAATTTACATCCTAATGCCTCCTTTCTACGTCTCTCCTCCTCTCCCCTCAGTCTCTGGTCCTAATTTAGGCGCCCACTGTCCTAAGTGGTGATACTTTCTAAATTGGTGTAGTGCGTCCCGTCCCTGGCCTAAGGGTGGAGGTTGGAAGGAGCTGGAAGGAGCTATCATGCAACTCCTGCTACTGTGGTCCACATAAGTGGCATCAAGTGCTATGTGTTCTTTTGTGTCTGGCTTTTTTATTCCATGTCATATTTGTTGAAGTCAATGATAGCTTTCTTCATTTTGATTGCTATATGATATTTGATTCCTTGCATATATCACAGTATGTATCTAATCATGAGCCAGATTTTGGCAATATGAATACAGATTCTCTTTGATTCATGATGACATAACAGCCCTATAAACCTGTCGTAAAGTTGAAAAATCATAAGTTGAACCATCATGGGTCAGGGACCGTCAGTACTGCTATGAACATTTTTTTTTTTTTTTTTTTTGAGACAGATTCTCACTCTGTTGCCTGGGCTTGAGTGCCGTGGCATCAGCCTAGCTCACAGCAACCTCCAGCTCCTGGGCTCAAGTGATCCTTCTGCCTCAGCCTCCCGAATAGCTGGGACTACAGGCATGCACCACCATGCCCAGCTGATTTTTTCTATATATATTAATTGACCAATTAATTTCTTTCTATTTATAGTAGAGACAGAGTCTCGCTCTTATTTCAGGCTGGTCTCAAACTCTTGAGCTCAAGCAATCCTCCTGCCTCGGTCTCCCAGAGTGCTAGTATTACAGGTGTGAGCCACCGTGCCCGGCCTGCTTTGAACATTTTTGTACTTGTCTTTTACTGCATGTATGCAAGCGTTTCTCTTGGGCATGTACCTGTGAACATGTGCTATAAACTGAACGTTTGTGTCTCCCGCTAAATTCACATGTTGAAACCTCCCCCCCAGAGTGGTGATACTAGGAGATGAGGCCTTCGAGAGATGATTAGGTGATGAGGGCAGGCCCCTCAAGAATGGGGTTGGTGCCCTTATAGGTGGAGCCAGGCAGAGCTCTCTCGTCCCTCCCACCAGGTGAGGGCGCAGGGAAAAGGCGCCGTCTGTGAACCGCATCACACCATCGCTAGGCACTGAGTGTGCCAGCACCTTGGTCTTGGATTGCCCAGCCTCCAGAACCATGAGAAATAAATTTGTAAGCCGCCAAGTTTATGGCATTTTGTTATAGCTGCATGAATGGACAGAGACATGGAACTGTGGCATGCTTAGGCACATGTCGTTCAGTTTTAGCGGGTGATGGCAAACTGTTCCCAGTGTGATTGTTCTGATTTGTTGCAGCTCTTCACACACACCCAGCATTGTTAGGTTAGCATTAGTGCGTGTGTGTGTGTGTGTGTGTGTGTGTGTGTGTGTGTGTGCCTAGCCATGCTACAAGGTGAATATTGTTGGGGCTTTAATTCGTATTTCCTTGATTTTTTTAATGAGGCTGAGCACCTTTCCATGTGTTTATTGATGTTTGGATAGCTTCTTTGATGAAGTGCCTGTTTAAGACTTTTGCCCTTTTTTCTAAATTCTTCTACTGTGAGGCTAGTTATTTTACCCTCTTAATGTTATTTCTCGAAGAACAGAGTTTTGTGGGATTTTCTAATGGATTTTTAACTTTCAATATGGCCTGATTTACCCATCTCCCTATTATGGTTAGTCCTGTTTTGCCCTAAATCAAGGTTATATGGATATTTTCTGTATTACATTCTTTATTATTTTGCCTTCAGCTCAACCATCTACCACCTGGAGTTGATTTTGGGGATGGTGTGAGATTGCATTGTCTCAGCACTATTTATTTAAAAGATGCTCCTTTTGCACTACTCTGCAGCATCACACCATAACACGTGTGACGTGCGCAGACGTGTGTGGGGCTGATTCTGCCCTGGTCTGTTGA